ACTGGTTTGTCATCTTTGCCTTATAACAAGGAAAGGAGAATTCTGTTCTGCACATCAGGGTTCCCTTCAAGTAATCTCATCTCCATGAGTGTAATGAGCTGTGGTTTTCACATGTGTATACTCAAACTGCAGCTACCAGTCTGTTCCTCACTTTACAGTAGCAGTGCCATCAACTGATAGACTGATTTAACATTTTTATGTGGTTTATAGTAATTTTCTTTCCATACTAGGTACAGGAAACTGAGCATACTTTCCTGTATAATTTGTAGGGCATTATACAAAGCAACTCATTGCTCTGGACATTAAATTCAGTTTGCAAAACAATGTTCCTACTGCAACCAGGGCTTCCAAGCAAAATATTTGCCTATTGACTGCCCTGATAGCCTTGGCAGTTGGACTAGATGGGAGCAGAGCCATAGCATTTACCTTTGCTAAATAGTAAGGGTTTGCTAGAGGATTATATGTCTCAAATGCCTTACAATCAGGTGGAGACAGCCTGGAGAATCAAGAAGACAAGGCTGAGGCTCAGGGTGATACATGGCTGAGACTTACTATGGGAACTTGGGTAGAAATAGAGGAAGCTAAACCCAAAATTTCAGATCAGCCAGTTGACAGACAGAATCCCTGGGGAGTGTGCAAAGGCTGGGAAGTGAGTCTGGACTACAGCAGGGAAATAAGAGATCGAATCAAACCTCTGATTTTGCTCTGTTAAAGCTTTTCCCTTTTATCCAGTCAGTTTTAAGTAATTGTGGAGAATCTAACAGTAACATTAACAAGCTAATTAGCACCTGGATTTTACTGGAAATAGGTTTTGGGTTTCATTGCTGACAAAAAGTGTACTAAATATATTTGGGTTTATTTAAAGCACTGCCTAGTTTTTGAAGGTGCAAGTTCAATAAAGGTACAAGCTCAGTCAGTGCTGGTTCCCTGTCCTTGCCCTGCCCTCTCCTCCCTCCCAACTGCTGAGCGCAAACAGCTTCAGGAGACAGAGCTCTGCATGGTTTTCATTAGGCAGAAGGGTTAAGCGAGTTTTTCCTACAGCTCTTTATTGCTAGGGTATGACAAGGAAGGAATCCAGCTTGCCTGTCAGATCCCAGATTCGGTTTTGTAGTCTTAGCAATAAATTAAAAAGCAAAGGAAAAATCCCCCCTGTGAACTGTGCACATATTATCGTTTCCCATGGATTTCCAGCTTGCTGTGAAACCCCACCAGGCCCGCTTCCCGATGTCAAACTGCAGAGTGGAATTGCACTGGAAGAAAGGGGTCACTAACAGGAGGTTGGAGCTGAACCAAAGAGCAGTACAAAGGGCCTCGGTGGTGTGGGCTGCGTGCAGCCGCATCCTGATGTCTGCCACCTCCAGGGCACAGTCAGGTAGGCTCACTTGAAGGGGTGCATGAAAAACCTCTCAGGAACTTGCTAATACTTTGGAAAGGCCCAAATCTACCCATTCTTTAGGAAATATGCCTCCAAGTTCATAGAGACACTGCGGGTGTCCTCACCACAGAATTGAGCAATTATCAGTAATGGAAAGAAACTTCAGGCTTTAGGGGAGCTAAATGTATTGTAATGCAACATATACTGTAAGACAGCCACATTAACATCCTGGCGATGGACCAGCTGACAAACACCAGTGGGTGAGGCAGACTAATGAGTGTTATCTTAAAAATATCAACAAGCAGAAGCAATACAAACCATGCGATTCATTAAGTAACCACCTATGATCCTTTGAGTTCCAAAAGCTCAGAAAATGCTGATTAGGAGGAGGCTTTTAGCTAATAGGAATCCTGTGGTTTGACAAAGCAGAGGAAAGCAGGACTGTAAATTCTCAGGCATTGCAGTAAGAGCTGCATGGCACAGCATGCTGGCTCCTGGAGATACTGCTGCAGAACTGTGTGGATATGCCTGTGTAGAGCTTTCTGTCTGACTGCATTGGGAAAGCCTCTTTGCAAATTCTAAACGAATGCAGATAACTCATGGAAGTGAGTTTCAGAAGCTGTACAGCCTCCAGAGAGAGAGTGCATGTGTTGCAGATGCCCCTTCACAATCTCCTGCCCTGTGTTGTCGGTGAGCCTGGCAGGGACCGGAGCAGCCTCCACTGCTGCAGCTCCTAAACCCACAGCCACTGCTTCTTCTGCTGCTGACTAGTCCCCTCCAATGTTTGTGGGTAGCTGGTGAAATTAGGTATCTGGAAAAACTTGATAATACGAAAGTATACTGGAACATTTCTTGGATCAGACTGCTGCATTACTCATGCATCATTAATTCTCAAAATATTAAGGGAACATTTCTTAATATTAGGCCATATTCTGTTAAAGAGACACAAAACAACTCGCTGGGTTTAAACCATAACACAGAAGGCACCATCAGCCAAGCAGATCCAGTGCATAAAGGCAGGTAGGAAAGGTTTGCTGGGCTCAGCCGGAGAGCTTTGGATTTTCTGTTATGCATTGTGGTGTGTAAAGTTTTATTAGACCAGACCTGCAAAACCTCATTGTTAATGCTCATGCAGCTCACCTCCTATGTAGGATTTTCTGTTGTCACAGCAGACCAATTTAAGGCTTTATTCAGCATTCCTCGTACAGCTAAAAACACTACTAACATTGCCTGCAAGCCTGAGGCTGAAGAGGATGCAGCCTCACTACTAGTGGTATCAGGACTGCAGCTACATTCATGAGCTCTGTTTTTTGTTTCTGCCATTCCAGCAAAGTATCTCCTCTTTTCCAGGCTTAGAGCTGCCCTGGCATTTCCACTGCATTCATCACTGCTGTGCTGGGAGCACAGACAGGATCTCGGGCGAGTCCTTGTTTCCCTCTTCTCGACATTGGTACATAATGATGTTACCTACAGTCTTATTGCTTGTGCCCCAGCTCCTGTGAAACTGATAGTTGTGCATAGCACTTCGTAATTGGAAAAAGTCAGGAGCGTGTCGGCAACCAACTGCTTTATTAAGTTATTCTTCTGGGCAGATGATACTATGCCCTGCATCTTAAGGTCGTCTATTAAGATGGAGTGTGGAATTGGTAGATGGCAGAGGAACAGCTCCCAGGCAGTGGCTGGTCTGAGCTCACATGGGTTCCCATGCCTCATGCCTCTTCACATAGTCCCAGAAGGTCTGTGCTTGCAGTGGAGGAGGTAGCATGCAGTGTTTGACAGTTCCATCGGTTGGCACTATTTATTCAGTCCAAGCTGTGGGAATAGCTGACCGGATGCTGCTTCTGCCTGTTTATCACTTTGCAAACCTTCCATGTTGCTCTTGAGCTCTTAATCTCCCTGGGGTGACCTGGCTGTCAGGGTGACAATTTCGGGTGACAAGCTGGCTTATTGCAGCTAACTCATTCTCTAAGATCTCTGCGTAGCACTAGTGTAATACTTCATTGTTTTCTCCACTAATGACCCCTTATTAGATGCTTTGTAGGTAGATATCTGTCAAATTTCAGCCTAAGATGGACATGGAAGGCTACAGAAATGGCCAGGGCCATGTATCCAATTAGCGGAAATCGGATAATTATCCACCCAGGATGCTGGGGGGAAGTCTGCAGTGCGTGTGTCCTGCCAGGAGCTGCCTCTCCTCCTGCTCTGCCCCTCTGAGGAGTGAAGCACCTCTGCCTTTGGGATCCCCTGAGGATGTAACCACTGATTTCTGCAAACTCACACATCCCTGTGAGGAAATGATCAGAATTCTACATTGTCTTCTGGAGCTAAACTTAAACTGCCCTTGAGCATCCCCTCAGGTTCCACAGGATAGCTTAGCTGGGGTCAGGTGTTAACTCCCTACGCCCACTGCAACCCCCCAAGTGCTGATGAGGACTCTGGTTTGGAAGACACAGGAGCAGGAGGGAGCAAGGAATCAGAATCATAGAATAGTTCGGGTTGGAAAGGACCATAAGATCATCCAGTTCCAACCCCCCTGCCATGGGCAGGGACACCTTACACTAAACCATATCACCCAAGGCCTCGTCCAGCCTGGTCTTGAACACTGCCAGGGATGGAGCATTCACAACCTCCCTGGGCAACCCATTCCAGTGCCTCACCACCCTCACAGGAAAGAATTTCCTTCTTATATCCAATATAAATTCCCCTGTTTAACTTTTAACCCGTTACCCCTTGTCCTATCACTACAGTCTCTAATGAAGAGTCCCTCCCCAGCATCCCTATAGGCCCCCTTCAGATACTGGAAGGCTGCTATGAGGTCTCCACACAGCCTTCTCTTCTCCAGGCTGAACAGCCCCAACTTCCTCAGCCTATCTTCATATGGGAGGTGTAGGACAGATTGGATAAAGTATGTAAACCCTGGGCCCTGGGGACATTCCTTCTGCAGCAGAGTGAATTGTGCTGTAAAAATGTACTGGCTTCACTTGCTCTTGCATACAGAAGACTTTACTCTGGAGAGTGCTATTTTTTTTACTTCTTTTTTCTATTTTAGTGAGATTATTGTAGGTGTTCCTGCTGGCTATAAGCAGACATTTGAAAGGAAACAATATATCTGCATTTGGAAGCTTGTCCTGGAACTGATTCCTTGAAACAAAAATAATTTTCTATTTAACCTCTCTCATGTGTTATTTCTGTATCATGCAAAGTAGTTCTTTACAAAAAATTAAGCTCTTGTGTATAATGTTAAAGGTAGACTTTAAATAAGAAGATATTTTTGGCAGTCTACAAGATGGAATTTAATCAGGTGAGCTCTGGGGAGTTACTTTTCTGGGAAGCACAGTGAGGGTACAGGAGCCAAACTGTGCCTTTGCTAGAAAGTCCCAGTGGCAGGGGCTTAGGGGAGCTTTGAAACAAGCTCTGCATCACTACAGCCTGCTTCACATTTAAACCCTGTCAGCATAGATGGAACAACAGAAAGTGAGAGACTTCTGTGTGAAGCCTGAAGAGGGGGAAGGCTGCTCAGCACCACTCAGGAAGCTGGGAAACTCAACTGCTCTATTTTTCACCAATTTTCTTGTCTCCGGCATGTCAGGTGGGTGTTAATGCTTTCAAGTTGTTACCACCACAGGGACTCACTATAAAGTCTAAGCACGACATCAACAGCAGCCAGGCACCAAGCAGCTGCAAGGGATAGCGGGCACCAAGCAGGGTGGGATTGCTGCTGGAAGTGAGCCTGTGGGCCTGCATCAGTCAGTCATCACCCACGATGGAAGAAAAGCCAACAGAGAAATACAAATAGCAGTGGAAGCAGTAATGTAAACATCTTACAAGTAAGGTCAAAACTGCTGTATTGTATTTATCAGCTGGATTAGAGTGAAAAATGAGATGTGCTCGGAGTGTTTTTGCAGATATCTAGCAGGTCGGTGCTGTGAGCTGCTGGGCTCAATGCAGCACTAATGCTTGGTAAGTGGTGAATTACCCACGTATTGCCTAGACATGTGAGCTCAGCTTGGAGTGTTAAATGGCTGTTGAAGTACTTCCTTAGCAAAGACAGCTACTCCATTTTTCTCAGTAGCTTTTCCAACCAGCACTCCTTCCTTTCACACCTCCTCTCTGAGGGGCACAGATGCTGTTGAACAGATCTAAGCACAGAGTTTTTTCTGTGTCCTAGGAGCTGGCTTAGTCTTTTATTAATTTTATATATCTATGTCTGCACCTCCTTTCCTTCAGAGTAAAGGTCAAATATCTGCTATTCTAACACTACCCAAGTTAAAGTCATGCTTTTGTTGAACTCAACCAGGGGAGCAGGTAACCTGCAGGGATTTCTAAGGAAAACTCATGGAGCTGAATGCAAAGCTAGAGGTGGCCATTGGACCTACATCATAACTGCCCTGTCTCTGCACTGGAGGTTGCCCTGGGCTTTGGGGAGGCATCTGTGCCACCCCAGTGTCATCTGGGACAGTCACCAGCACACATGCCTGTGTTAAACCAGTGCCTCTGGAGGGTGCTTCTCTCCAGCATTTTGCCTGGTTGCTCAAGCAGGACAGTTGCAGGAAAAATATTTGTTCCTGGTTTCCATGTGGCAGCAGGAGACCCAAGACAGCCTACTTGGAACATGAATGCCTGGAGGCTTATAAGTCCTGAGTCAGCTTCAAGAAACCATTCCTTGATGGCCTTCCAGATCCAAAGCCTCTGCTTAGCAAGGTACCTCATCTTACCTAAAAAGAGGAAGTCCAAGATGATCATCACCTGGTTTCCCTGGGTATCTAGCCAGGATCAACAAGTTACCAATCAGGTTAGTTATGATAAGGGCAATATTGAATATCAACATAGTTCACCTAAACCCCCACTGCAGCTAAAATCTGCCAGCAAGGATGAAGAATAAATAAGCACATCATTAAGCTAATGAGACCCATATGCTTGTGTAGGCAAATAAAAGTGAGCTAAATCTATTGAAGAGCCAAAAAGCAGATGAATGAACCATGACTGACATCCTGGAATCATGTTTAAAATGCAAATATTGATATTTCTCACACTTCTTTTCCCTTATGTAAATCACATCTAAATAAGGCATCTGGTAGAAGAGAATGTATTTCTGCCTTTGAGCTCTTTCTCAAATGAATGAAGTAAACCCAATTTGAGAGAATACCTACAGACTGCTACAATTACTGGAGACTGCAGACAGCTGGGGAGTCACAAACAAGACTTGTCATCGTGGTGGAAGCTGAGCCTGAAAGTAATTTGTATCCCAATCTGCACAAATTAATCTGAGATCTTGTCTCCCAAAAAAGCGAGCCACACCATTTCCAACCGGGATGAAACTGCAACTGTTGGGTTTGTGGAATCCAGAAACAGCTGCAGTCAGAAAGAACTTTAACATCAGAGAAATTATCCTCTTTCTTCCGTTTTGTTTCCATGTTACTTATACAGAAGAAGAAAAAGAAGGAAAGATAATAAAACCTACCAGCTTTTATGAGCTTGATATTACTTTTTCAGGAAATGTGTATCTCAGGGAAGAATTTTCTTTCCTTTGCTAAAGGTTTGGGCTACTTGTTGCTATGCACTTGCTCTTCTAGGAGCTGCTGTCCAAGACATTTATTGCTTTGCAGGTCTGACAGATCAGCCCATCTTTCCTGACCAGTCACGTCATTTAATTGGGCAAATTATCTCTTATATCTAGTGCTGGCAGAAGGCTATGAGCTTCAGGTTACCCTCCAGGGAAAGCATGCCAAAATTTCTCTCTTTCCCTTTGCTAAGTGCCACTTTGAATCGATGGAGATCCTGACTCAATTAGCGTGGGATGGACCAGCCCTCCTGCCTGCTAAGATGCGAGGACAGGGCTTGCTTTTGCCCTGAGTGTGGTTATTACAGCATGTGCCCCTGGGTGCTGGTGTTTGTGACTGAGAGCAAAGTGACTGTGAATTTAGAGCCAATTCAAAAGGAGGTCAGGGAGGAAACTCTATGTGGTGGGGGCTGCTTACACTGAGGAAGAGGATTCTTGGTCAATGTTACACTCACATGCTTGCGTAATGCATCTTCCCCAGTGACACCCAGGGATTGCACTGGGAGCTAGAATGAGCCTAGCATCAGATAGTCTTCTTGTGATACACTGTATGTAGCATAGCGTACATGTAATACACTGGCTCATACAGGCAAGTGTGTGATACTAAATGTTTGACTCAATGGCAGTCAGATGTATTTTCTTAGCTACTTCCCTCTTCATATATGTATTTTTGCCTTTTGCTGATATTCTTATTTTTCTGGCTGCCATTTCAGGGAGCAGAAAGAAGAAATATACCATTTTCCTTGGCTTCCTTTTGGACTATCTTCCTGAAAGCAAAAAACCTGTGAATATTCATCACTTTTAGTTTAATTCATAGTGCATTCTCAGATGGAAGGCTCAAGTAATTAGCAGGTACTGACATACTGTCAAAAATGAACACTTTGCCAGTCATAGAATCACAGAATCCCAGACTCGTTTGTGTTGGAAGGGCCCTTAAAGCTCACCCAGTTTCAACCCCCTGCCACGGGCAGGGACACCTTCCACTAGAGCAGCTTGCTCCAAGCCCCTGTGTCCAGCCTGGCCTTGAACGCTGCCAGGGATGGGGCAGCCACAGCTTCTCTGGGCACCCTCACAGGGAAGAGCTTCTGCCTAAGAGCTCATCTAAATGAAATGAACACTTTTCCAAGCTGTGTGTACCCAAGTGAAGCACAGCAGCAAAAGACGTAAATGTTTGGAAAAGACATTTACAGGTTTTAAACAAGCACAGATTTTCACCAAATAGTTTCAGACTGCTAGCTCTAAGTTTACAGTCTTTCTCTCTGCACCTTGAAGTGGGAAGGTAGAGCTTAAAAACTATGAAATAATGAGAACTAAGCCCAGAATGGAGAAAGTGAGTGTATATGTGCCAATTTACACCAGCTAAGGATTTGGCTCTCAGCTCCTATAAATTATCTGATTACATAAGTTGTTATTGTTGTGGGCTTGGTTTTGTTTTGTTTCTATCTCCAGGTCCGCTGTTCTGGGATTTGACAGCATTGCAACATCTCCAACTAGAAGCCTGTCAAAGAGCCTCCTGACAAAAGCTTTGTTGTGGTCCATGTTACATCTACAACGTCACTGAAATATAACCTAGCTGTTGTGACTAGAGAGGTGCACTGAGTGTAACTGAAGTGTTTATTATCTGACACTTGTCCACCTGAATCATGGCAGGGTCGTGAGCTGGCATCAGCTTGTAATAGTAACCAACTATTTACAAGCCACTAATGACAATATCCTTCCCTCATATCAGATTGTAAATGCATTAGCAGATCACAACTGTACCTCATATCTTGCTTAGCAGATGAAAGGAAATAATTCTCCTCTGGATTAACTGAATTAAAATGGGAGTGCCATTCCTGATTCACCAGGACTGAAGCAAAGGCTTCTTTTGTGATTCAGGATTGAGGAGAATAGCTGTATTTTCCTGTTTCTTCTCAGTAACTATAAGGGTTTGGGAGATCACGTTAACGACTCTCATGAGTGCACCATATGTTTTAGTCTGTTTTAATTACTGCAGCCTTTACAGTCTCAGCTAAATGTCATACTTAGTGCTTTGTTTTACAATTAAATCTCTCCTTTGGGGAGATCTTGGAGTCTTTTTCTCTCCTCATCTGGGAAGGGTGAAGGAGAACTGCGAATTTACATTACTATGGCCAAACACAGCTTTGTTTGGAAAACAAACTTGATTATTATTATTATTATATCAAGATGGTTTTTATTAGATGCTTTGTTGAGGCCACAGAACAACAAAGTAGGAGATAAAAGACATTCTCTCTCTCTTTTCAGCAGTGCCTTGCATAGGCTGAAGCATCGCTTTAGCATTTGAAGGTAAAGGTCTACACAAAATGAAAGACAACACGAGCTCAGGCTTCCACGGGGTTTTAAGCTCTTGGTACTAAGGATGCATTTACATCTCAAGCAGACTCCTGGTAACTGCGGACAAACTTGACTCTATTCACAGCTCTCACCCACTCCTCAAGCCCACGCACGCTTCCCGCACAGCGCCTTGCGCACAGATATGTCTCATTAAGAAGTGAGTTGATTATCTTTTCCCTTAAATAACAGCAAGCCTCAATTTAGCCCTTCCGACCCTCGCGGGGAGCCGCGGAAAGGTCTGCTGGAAACCGTGACTGCGGGGCCCTGCAAACGGGACTGGCTCTGCCGCAGGGCTCGGCTCCAGAGGGTCTCCCAGGCGCTGCCCCAGCACACGGACGGGGAAGCACACGGTGCGTGCAGCGCCCCGGGGCGGCATTCGTGTGCCGTGTGCCGGCCGGCGGGCTGCCCTGGGCGGGAGGGGCAGCTGGCGGGTGCTGGCCGTCCGGTTTCATCCGAAACTGCGAGCAGATCAGCTGCTCCTGCCATAAACGGGATGAGGTGGTTACTTACAGCAACAATTTCCAATGATCTTTATGCAGGCAGCACTTCAGAGGGAAATCTTTGTCGTCTTTTCCTGTTTCTGGGAGACCGGTGTCGGTCTGAGGGAAAATTAATGTAATTTATTGCTGATCAAACCAGGACCGTCACAAACAAACCCCTAAACCACCTCCCTGCTCTCTCCTGGGCATCGCGGGGCTGGTTCTAACACTTTTTTTCCTCACGGCCATGTGGAATTGTAACCTTCATGGCCACCTCTCCTCAGAGGCGCCTGAGCGGCCGGAACCGGCCATGTCTGTGCCGCGGCCGCTCCTGTGAGAGACCCTGCAGGCCCGCCATGGCCACAGTGCAAAGGCAGCGGAAAAGGCAGGTTCTGTGTGGAAACCATGAGAAGCAGAAGGCACCGCGCTGCTCCGAGGATACCTGGGCAAAGGTGAGCGCCGGGAGGCGGGAAGGAGCTGCGGGTGCCCGGCCCTCGCCCCGCAGCAGGGCAGCGCTCTCCCCATGGCTGTTGCTGGCGTTTCACACAGCAGGAGCTGTAAGTGAAGCTCATTCATCTTGGGACACTGTCCTCCTGCCTGTCGCCTTTCCCCTGGCCTGAAACCCTCCCCCGTGGTCAGAGGCTCCTCCTCATGGGCTGTAAGCTGCGCTCCTCCATGCTCCCTGTCTTACCTACCTCCCTTGCCTCTGGCCCTGGGCCAAGGCACGGCCTGGTCAGCACCTGCACAGACACGAGTGCAGCCTCTGCAGAGGCGCTGGGGCAGGAGGAGCCCTGTCTCCAAGGGCTCACCATGTTGAACAGGGCTTTGGCAGCCATGTGGAATCCCCTCTCCTCCTCCTAAAGCCTGGCTTGTGTTTAAAACTGGGGGGGGGGAGAATCAGACCCTCCTTCCTGCTCTGGTGGCAGAGATGGAATCCAGTTTTCCCTCTCCCCCTGTGGAAAGGCAGAGTGTAGCCCAGCTGTAACTGTTCCAGGAAACCTGGAGGTCAGCAGGTAGCACAGGTTCAGTGGGGCCTTTCTGATGAGCAGCTGCCACAGTGCTCTGGTAACCCCAGTTCTCCCATCTCAACAACAGCAAACCCACCCAACAACCAACCTTTCCCCTGTGACCCTCTCTTTCCCCTGCAAAGGCTCATGGCTTACACTGGAGACCACCGGCGTGGGACCTGCCCCAACACTTCTGCAGAGCAACACTTCACCATGGAGCGTGCTGTGTCAAGAACAGACAGCCCAGGCTGCTGCATGTCAGACCCACGCTGGAAAGCGGGGTCCCTGTTTGTTTATTTTTGCTTTCTGATGGTTATAAAACTAACGGGCCACATTTTTCATTCTCTCGGGCATTACTAAGGGCTATAGGGATATTCCTAAATAGTTTACATCTGTGCTCTGAGTCTGGAAGAAAACACCGAGCCAGATTTCAGGAGAGAAAGAAACCGGAGACAGCTGTGAAAGGGGCGTTGCTGCTGTCTGCTCTATGACTGTGTGGGTCATCTATTCCCTTCAGTAGTAACAGGAGAAGCGCATCCAAAGCAATAGTGAGCTGGCCTTTGAGTATGAACTAACCAGGGCTACACAGTATTACATACAGCCTTGTTACTTTCCTATGCAACAGCATCCATAAATTCAGCAAAGAAGTATGTGGATGCCTATTGCATGGACCAAGCTCCAAAGCTGCAGTGGAAAAAAAGAAAAGGAAACTTTGCAGTTGGATTTTCCAGAGCAGGTAACATTGGGAACACTTTTTAACTCTCAATTGAAATGATTTTGTGTGAACTAGATACATTTGTGCAGGATGACATCTCCAGATAGTCCCTGTGGGGCTCATGAGATGGTTTTGCTAAGAACTTGGCTAGCTGTGCATCTGTGCTGCCCAACAACAGGGATGTTTTGCCTCACTAGATGATAACTTTCACATGTTGTTAGAGATCCATCACAGTAGAAGTCAGTACTAACTGGCTCACATGGCCTTCAGCTTTCCAACATTTAGTCATCAGGTCTCCAGGCTGATTCAAGTTTTTATTAGCTCCACCCCTTACCCAATTTGGGAAGCTTCTAACACGAAGCCTTGTTCCTGGCTGAGAGGTATGGTCTGCCAGTACTTGGTGATGGTCACCCTTTTCCTCACAGCAGTCAAAGCATGTTTTTTCTTGTTTCTTTGGACTTGCATTTTAAAAGATACAAGGAAATCAGTCATGACAATTGCATACTAAATAACAATAAGTTGATTTCTAACCTAAGTGGTTTATTCTAGCATAAGGCTGGTTTTGTGTAGAAAAAAGGGCAAAAGCCTGAGGATGATGCTTTTATTAGAAAATAGCTTTGAGGAAAGAAAATGGAAAAAGAGTGTTCTGGTGGTGGTCACCCCTGCCTGGTGGGGTTGAGAGACAGGTTTATTGGTAAAACCAGCAATCCGTGCTATGTTTTCCCCATGATGGTGTGTTACTGAAGGGCAGAGCAAGGCAACGTGGCACAGCTCTGCCTGCCTCATGGCTGAACCCACATTCAGGCTCGGGCAGCTTCTCACATGCTCTAACCATAATGGCTTGTAATAGCTACCGAAAGGTATTTTGGCAAGGAATTGCCTGTCTCGCTCCTTCAGGAAAGCAGGCAGCATCAAACAGCAACTTGTGAACTGGGTAACTTTGGTTGTCTGGGGAAACAGCCATTCGGGTGGTTTATTTGTATGGTAGGTATTTGTTATGAATACAGGATGTTACTAGGGCTCAGACCCTGAATTCTTGACCTCAGTGCAAACATCTTTATTTGAGACATCCACCAGAAGAAAACAATGACCTGTGTCAAGTAATTCTAGGGGCTTATGCGCTTCTTTGTCAAAGGGGACCATTCTGTACCTCCCAAGTGCATAGGTTATTGCCAATGACCAGCACTCACTGGCACCAGCTTGAGCTGGAAACCTCTCATCAGTAGTGGTGGTCTCTGCCTCAGTCTTGTGTGTTACTACAGCTCGGGTTACACCAGGGTCCTCACAGCAATCCAGGTGCTGGTTAGAACAAATGTCTCTGTGTGAGTCATATGTGGGGACTGAGCAGGACTGGGTATCTGGGGCAGATGAAACAAAGCCACACCTTGATTAACAAGGGGATGTAAAGTACCGCTGGGATTTGAGACCCTGCTGGAGAATAGAGGGGCTCTGTGGAAGGCTTAAACAGTAGTTTCCTCTGTGTTTGTGAGTACAGAGATGAGACAGAGGTAGTCTTATTTATGATTCTAGTGGGTTTGAAGAGTTGTATGTTTATAGTAGTTTTCTGGTACCTCAGGGAGTGGGAAAAGGCAGTGGGCAAGCCAGATGGCCAAGCAGAAACTTGAGAAATGGTGCTTCCCATGCAGTGAAGCACAGAAGGATCAGATGGAAATCATATCTTGCTTTGGGAAGACACAATCTTCCCATTTTGGGAAGTGTGTTATGGGGATGATGAGCTTTCCATTGGCATCTAGATGGGAATGAAACCTTTACAAAACTAATTTAGAGTTTGGAAAGGAAAGAAGGGGATCCTGCGTAGGCTGGGATATGTGAAAATCACAGAGTTGATGTTATGGACATGAGAGTGAAACCCAGGTTTTCCAAGAGCAGAAATAAGAGTGCAGACCCATGTGCCTGCAGTGCTGTCTATGCCCTGGTGAACACACATACACTGGGTTTGGGGAGTTCTGTGGTGCTTGCAGGGTGTATATGAGGATGCTGACTCCAGCACCAGCTCCTTCTGATAGCTACAGGATACTACAGCATGAGGTGGATATGGGCTCACCTTGGAAGCAAATGCAAGAACTGTTAATTTTGAGGTGCTCATGCAAATACGAGCCACTACACCGCTGGGAGCAGAAAGGGAAGAGCTTCTGGCAGTAAAAGAGGAGCAGGCAAAATTCAGCAGTTGGGAGGGACATAAACTACGTATCTGAGTAAAGGAATGACAGAAGATATAATTAGCTTCAGGTTAGCGACCTGGCAAGTCCTTGCTTGCATTGAAAGGGCAAGGGATTAAATAACAACCACACACAAACTGAAGAGAGAGGTTGAAGTTACCTAGCCATGCTGCCTGGGGCTGGCTGTGTGCCCCTCCGCTTCTCCATGAAGCTTCCATGAGAAGCATCATCCCTTCTCACCCCTGGCCCATGGCTGCTGCCCAGCTTCCTGTGTGCCTCTCAGTGGCTGCTCTGAGCACCCCTGGGAGCACTCTGTGCCCCTGAGCCATTCTCAGATCCTGCCTAGCCGTGGAGAAGCAATGGTCCCATATTACCAAACAGGGGCCCTTTGCTTCCTCCTGTTCCCTTTGCTGTCAGGCCCTCTCCTTGTTTTACCACCTGCCAGTTGCTCAGTCAATGTTCTTTAGGAGATACCCTGATCCTTAATTCCTCTTTAGCTCTGAATAGCTCTGGGCAATGCCACCTATTTGCCTTGTCATTATGTCCTCTCCAGACAAATTACTGTCTTGTGACATTAATTTGTTCCATGCACCAATAGGGGACAAAAGTATAAGAGGATTCCAGACTTTGAAAACTGAAGCAGCTTTTTACAAGAAGAGCCACACAGAGTGTGCACAGCTCCACAGGGCATTTCAGCCCTGCTCAGGCATGGCTGCCAGGCTTCCCCTTGCTTACTTTCTTCTTGCAACCTGTAGCCATCCTGACTTTCACACTGGCTGCTCTCTTGCATCCTACC